CCCCGGTGGTTCAGCGGTAAGCCTGAAAGCTTACAACTGTAAAAATCAGGTTTCTATACCCAAGATGGGTAGAGCACAGATAGCCCATCGTGTAGCTTTGGACTTATCTAGTACAACAGAACGAGAAACGATTTTTTATAAAAGTAGAAATTCACATAATTGTAATAATAACAACAACTACATGTACCTTTTCAAAATCTTGTTATTATTATTTGATAGATTGTTTAGGCAGAGTATTCATGATGAAACTTTGTAGACTGGACGGCAACTACCTGTTTCTCTACAACAGGCAGTTGCCATCCATTCTACAAAGTTTCATCTTATTATATCTTTTTTTACTTGTTCTACGTTTTAGTCACAGGTTTATTTCATGAAGAATGTACCTATGACGGATATTTGACTATATAATTAGTTGTGTGACTTACTGTCTATTATAAGTCTTTGTTTCTTCATGCTTCACTCCATGTTTAACTGAAATGGACTGATAACAAAAAAAGAACGACTTTAGTAATTGTTATTATTGTTAGTTAATTACCTAAAACTTTACATGTCAGATATTTTGGTGGCATGATGTATGTGACCGAAATAATCTTAATTCCCAGTTCCAATCAGCGAACAGGTGCTCATTTTGTATAAAGAACATAAAACAATACTGTAAGGAAAAGATAACCATCTTTCTTCAGTTTCGAAGAAAACAACTTATCTACGACTTTCATAAATTAATGAAAACCGGTGTTCTCAAAAAACCTAAAATAGTAACGACATATATTCAAACTTTCAATGAAATTAATGACATTCTTTGAGATATGTACAGTCGAAGAAACGTTCTAACAAACGTCGTCAAGTTTTACCTAACCAAAACTTTTTAGAACACTGTACAGAAATCACAGAATCTGAAAGAAGGAAATATTGTGGACAATTATAATTGAAGATGTATAATATTTCAAAAAAAGTGACCACATTTAAGAAAGCGGTTATAATGCCACTTCCTAAGTTAAGGACAATGATTATCCTTGACTGTCTACCCATTATTTACTTTGATCTTTCCTCTATGGCATATTTATGGCAGAATTTAAAAGCTAGACGTTATGTATTGCCAAACTCAAACCACCTGGATAAGTTATGTTGGCTATTTAGCCACACAAGGAAGAGATGCAATTAATTTTCCTCAAAATCTCTACTCCCTTAACCCGAACATAAGAATCACCCTGCAGGTAAAATGGAACAGAACCCTACCACTCCATGGCTTTCTACCCAACGACATCGCTGCTTCATTACACTATAGAAAAAATCTATCCAATAAAATATCTCCATATAAAATCCGCCCACCTTCCCTCTACATAATGGGGAATTATCAGAAATATGTTTGTAACAGTCTGTTTGTTTGTTTATTTGAAGTTAAGCACAAAGCTACACAATAAACTATCTATGCTCTGCCCACCACGGGTATCGAAACCCAGTTTCTAGCGTTATAAGTCCGCAAATATGCTGCTGTGCCACTGGGAGGGGGGGGGGCTGTAACAGTCAGAAAAACTTGCAAGTACGGCCAACTTAAGAAAGAACTGTTCATATAGCAGACTTTTAAATCAAATAGTCGACTTCATCAGTACTTCAAACATCACCAAAGCTACTCAGGCAAAACTCCAAGTTCAACGCAAAGCTAAAAGCACAGTAACATTCATTTCAAAAATAGCCTAGATATTCAGGAGGATTTTCTACAAATTACACCTAAGTTTAATTCAAATCCAGACAAACTTTCAGAAGCATGTGAGCCAAAGTGAAACAACAAACCAGCAACGACATGCCCAGCAAAGAATCTACAGCTTCTTGTTGTTATGGCGACCGTAGTTATAGGAGACTATAGGACATAGACACTTAGAGCATAACGATACAACAAATTTACCAGAATACAGTTATTAACATCACAAACTTTGATCAACCAATTGAACGCTATAAAATCAGAATACTTGCTAAAAAGTTAATTTATAAAATCAAATTGCAGTCAACTCACAACTGAAAATAAGGCCTAAAAAATCGGCAGCTTAACTATAGAGACATCCAGTCTCCTCAAAGTCGCAGCTACTATAATGGGATTGCACTAAAGACAACTACACTAATGACAAAATTCTGTAACACACGAGCAAGCGCTAAGCAACGATAAAACCTACCATTCTTTGGGTTACGCTTAATTATACACGCTGTGTACACACAGACTTTTTTTTTCACCTTTCAACCGCTGCTGATCATGTTCCCTTATTTCAACCCCAGTCCATTTATCATATCTTTCTCGCTACGCTGAAAATGTAAATAACTACATCAAGGTCCTATCTGAAAAGCCAGAATATTGAAATTTTCTCTTTACAAAGGATTTATTTGTGGGTCATTTTCACCTGAGTGTTGAACTTCCCCATTCCAAACCTCGTCTTCACCCGAAAAACTTGTAAGTACGGCCAACTTAAGGAAGAAGTGTTCATATAGCAGACTTTTAAATCAAATAGTAAACTTGTCGACTTCATCAGTACTTCAAACATCACCAAAGCTACTCAGGCAAAACTCCAAGTTCAACTTCCATGTGATGTTTCCTCTTCAGTTTTACACTCAAGCAAGTTCTCTATACTTCCAAGTGATGTTTCCTCTTCAGTTTTACACTCAAGCAAGAAGAGGAAACATCACTTGGAAGTATAGGGAACTTGCTTGAGTGTAAAACTGAAGAGGAAACATCACTTGGAAGTATAGGGAACCAGTTTTACACTCAAGCAAGCTCCATATACTTCCAAGTGATGTTCCTCTTCTCTTACTGCCGCGTCTCTACCTCCACCTGCCGCTAATCGTATTTCTAGCTTCAGCACTGAATTTCCTCAATCTAAAACACGTTTCCGTCAACCTCCGCCAAGAGAGCTTCTTACCTCGTCATGCCATATGTGAAGAAACATTATCCTGCCCAATACTCAAAGTCTCCTCTGTTCCATCCTTCTCTGTCTCCATATCATTACAGTCCTTCTCCTAGGTCTCAAACTCGTATCTCAAGTTAATCTCAGACCTATAGTCAGTCTTCTTGCCATGCCACAACACAGAATGATTTTCCTGAAACAATGAATGTCTGTCTCATCCCAAGCTTCCCTTGACCTTGTAATGTCTCATTCCAATTCCAAGTATGATAACAGTGAGAACATTTCCAAAACGTCTAACATGACATTTTTAAGGCTAACAGCTTCACCTGCCCTTGAACGGCATGCTCTCGTCCTTCTCAACGCTTCTTATATCTTTAAACTACTCCTATTGTTCTTCTATATGCTATTTTATGCCTCTCATACTTTGACTTAATCACCTACTTCCAGGATATCTGGATATTTGTTATTCTCACTTCATCCTTTTCAAATCATCCTGTTCTGAGCAAAACAACTCCACCATGTGTAGGAAAGAGAGCAAATCAACATATTCCTGACCTTTCTGCCTTAGCTGAACACTTGCGACGAAGACGGCACCATGATGGCCTGAAAAAGGTCTCAGCAACCAAGTTAGGCAACGTCCCTTGGAAACCCAATATTTCACAATGTCTACAATGACATTTGGACCTGTTTCTTGCGACAATGGCAATACTTCTATTTATAATCAAGACTAATATGTAGAAAATCAAAATAATGGCAAATATCCAACTTCAGCATAACTTTGGATCAAAGGTCAAGAATAATAATTGATAATTCTTTTTAAGAGTGCACCAAACAGTTTACTGAAAGAATCAGGAAGAATATTTCGTAAAATTAAGAAAATGGTTTATTCAACTGGATTTTAATGACTTTATTTGCCTTACATGTAACAATGAATCTTCTAAAGAAAATATATTTTAAAATTCATTGTCGCTTTAAAATAAACTGATGATAAATGAAGGTGTAATAGTTCAATCATTACATGAAATAAACCAAGTGATTCGATATCTTGAATAACGAAAGGTAAACAGAATTTGGAACTGATGAAAAACAAGTATTGCTCAATACCTTCAGAGAAGAAGATCAAAACAAAAGTAAAATATATATTGCACACTTAAACAACAACAACAACAAAAAAACGACTTGATTTACCCGTGCTAACTCTACACTCCAAAAACTGTTGGAAACTATAGGTCTATCAGGCCAGCCCCCCGGTGGCTCATCGGTAATTGTGGAGGCTCATAACGCTAGAATCCGGGTTTTAGTACCCGTGCTGAACAAAGCACAGACAGCCTATTGGGTAGATTTGTGTGTAATAATAACAACAACAACAAAAAGCTATCAGCTTCTCACCTCCGGCAGTCTGTGTAAACGAGTTTCTTTTCATACAGTTACACTGAATTTCATATGTAATTATTTTAAATGCTGATAATATTTAAAAACTATCTATGAAAATTCTCTTTAAACACAGGTTTCATTGTCGCTATTCAAAACGTCAAGGAATTTCACACAAACGTCGCTATTAAAGTAAATTTAGAAGGAAGTGGTTAACCTAATTGATATACATGAATTGAAAATAATAGTTTTTAGCTTAAATGATATTGAATATTATTTGTTCTAAACAACAAACTGATTTTATATTTAACATCTAGAGTATTGTTGGATAATTCTTTATAATTAACAGTTTCTTTGTGTTGTTTAAATTTACGCTTCAAAATAACTAGCTTAAAAATGACATTGGGAAATATGATATTAATAAAGTACTTACTTGGAGTTTTTTCTATGCTATTTATTGACTCATTTATGTGAGCAAACACTCAAAAATAAATTACTGCATTATGTGTGTGCTGATGTCCTTTGTTGTTTTCAGTTAAAACGTGCCCTCCATTGGCATAGCGGTATGTCTGCGGACTTACAACGCTAGAACTCGGGTTTTGATACCCGTGGTGGGCAGAGCGCAGATAGCTCATGGTGTTGCTTTGTGCTTAACTTAAAACAAATCAAATAAAAAAGATAAAAGTAAAAACTTTTTTTATATATATAAATATAAGCTTTATTTTTATTTTTCCGCAGCTCTTCTCCTTCATAAGTGTTTTGAGTTATTTGGCTTGTGGTCAACAGCGCTTTCAACAAAATAGAGGATATGCTGTTATTCCTCTGCTTAAAAGGTCTTATGGTCAAAATAACAAAGAAGAGCGAGATTCAATCAAAGTTCGGTTTCGGATTCCTCTTTTCTTCCAGGATGGCAAAGTTCAAGTTGGTGAAATACGAAAAATCCAAAATGACCAGTTCACAAGCTCAATCCCCCATAATCAGTTTGATTTTTCAATTTACCAACCTAAAGAAACGTCTGCTTTTACTTTTCCGCCGTTACTTGTTTCACAGAATCATTTCGAGACAAGAGAAAATTCTCGAAGTGTAGTTTCCGAACAAGACAATTTGTTTTACAACCATTCACATTACAGAAGCAGTGGGGCTGGTTTTCCAGATCATAACCAACCTACAGAAAATATGAGTTTTTATAAAGTTAGTACTGAGACCCAGGCTCCGCCAACCCAGCAGAGAAGAAACTATAGGATTGACTTTTCCACAGAGCAAAACAATGAGCAGAAATATTCATCTCAATCACCTAATGACAATTATCAATTGAGAACCGGCCAACAAAAGCATTTCGACTCATTAGCAGAAAGTCATACTAATGAACCGTTGGTTAACCAGGGTCGAACTTATTCCACTGTCTCTAATTATTCTAAATATCCAAAGTTTGCTAGTGATCTCAGTAGCAGATTAGCAGATATTAAACAGTTGATTTATAATTCTCAAAGAGATCCGGAACGTGGCCACCTGACGGGCAATACAAACAATTCAAATAATAAAGATCATTCAGTCTTTTTCTCACAGCATGTTCCTGTTGAAGAATCAATTATGCATCCAATTAAAGATCTTCCTGCCTGCACAAACAACATTCTTGGCTATTGCCCTTTCCAAACAGAGTACCCGAGGTAAGGAAAGTTTCTTCTGTTTGAAGGAGTTACATAACTTAGCGTTTCAGTTTTCTCTGTTAAATGTACCGAATAAATAAAAAACAGAACATTTACGTTTCAGTTTTCTCTGTTAAATGTAATAATAAATAAAAAACAGAACATTAACGTTTCAGTTTCTCTGTTAAATGTAATAAATAAATAAAAAACAGAACATTAGCGTTTCAGTTTTCTCTGTTAAATGTAATAAATAAATAAAAAACAGAACATTAGCGTTTCAGTTTTCTCTGTTAAAATCCCTAAATATAAGAACAACGGAAGTTTTGAAGAAACTAGGTTTTAATAATCTATATTGCGACTGATTATTGTAATTCTTATCAAATGGAATCTTCCTGTATTTGTACTGTGTCTTTAAAAACTCGAAAACAATTACTATTTATTTTTACAGGCTTTTTCTTTGTTTGATAATCTGTGTCATGTTGTACCTTTCTTTAATTAGTTTGAATCATTTTAGCTTAAGCATGTTCAGAATATTTTGCGTTTTCTTTTTAATTTATGAAACTGTTTTACATATAATTTATACAAAATGGTCTTAGTTTCCTATTCCGCTATATCAAGAGGAGTACAAAATAAAAAGTGTTAGCAGAGTAATCACACAGTTTGTGTATATGTTTGTTTGTTTCTAATTAAGCACAAATCTAAACAATGGGCTATCTGTGCTCTGCCCACCACGAGTATCGAAACCAGGATTCTAGCGTTTTAAGTCCGCAAGCATACCGCTGTGCCACTAGGGGGGGGGGGGAGGATAAAAAGATACTTTAGTATTTCCTACGTGCCAACCATATCAAGAATAATGATGTTGTGAGTAACTAGCCTTTGCCTTACCAAATAGTCCTTGTTAAATCATCTAGCTGAGCGTGGAGTAGGGATTAACGAGGCAGACTGTAAACTCAAGGATTCGTAGTTCGATTCTTGTTGTCGCAAAATCGCCCTCCGCACTTTGAAGCCGTAGGTGCATTATAGGAGTGGCGATAAGATCCATTATTAGATTAAAGTAGTCTAAGCTTGGCGGTTAGTGCTGTTAATTAGCTGCCTTCCCTATAGCGTTTCAGTTTAAAATTAGTGAAGGTTAGCAAATAAAGCCTTTTTGTAGTTGTGCGTAAATATCTGAATCCAATAGATCACAAGTATCACCGTATCAGCTCAGTAAAATGTAGGTGTGGTGTTAAAAATCCAACTGCGTACAGCTGTTTTATGAACGCAAATTGCTTATCGTCACCGAGAAGAACGAAAACATAGAAGTCGTAAGGTGCTAAGTCATAGCTCTATTCGGAATGGGAAAGAACTGCTCAATCGCAATCATTATACAGACAGAAAAATGGGGTATGGCACTATCATCCTGTAGGATACATATCTTGTCCTGGTTACATGGTCCTTCTTCAATTGTGACTTACTCTATTCATGGAGACGAAAAACCTGATTATTTTTTGAACACCCCTTTGTATTTGCCGTACATTTATTGTCGTCCACTGTTTAGGACTTAGCGCCCCGTGTGCAAAAGTTCTGAGCTTCAACAATATGATCATGTGGTTAAGGCGCTCGACTCACAATCTACGGGTCGCAGGTTCGAATTCCAGTCCCACCAAAAATACTCTCACTTTCAGCCTTGGAGGCGTTATAATGTGACGGTCAATCACATTATTCATTGGTAAAAGAGTAGCTCAAGAGTTTGCGGTGGGTGATGAAGACTTGCTGCTCTCCTTCTAGTCTTTCACTGCTAAATTAGAGACTGCTAGCGCAAATAGTCCTCGTGTAGCTTTGCTTGCGAAATTCGAACCAAACCAGTTCAACAATATAAGCAAAACTAATCATTATGAATGAATACAGTTATATTAATTAACTAACGACCGGAGGCGTAACAATATATAATCTACTCTTTCATTCGCTACTTCCGGTATAGCAAACTAATTTTGCTGAATTCACAGCTTATCAGTGCTGCTTGGAAGAGCGAAACAAATATACAAAGTAGGCTTAATATAATGGTGAAATTCAGGCAGTTTGTTCGGTTTTGATTTATTGTCCCTTACTTAGCACTAACAATTAACTGTAACGGAATGCCACATGTTATCCAAACACTTAAAGTATTTTAGATTATTAATGGTAAGAAAAGGTCTGTATATCTAACCCAAGTTGATAATTTTCTGTGCGAAATTCGATTTGTCTATAAAGAATAATTAAGCACATTAACTAGTTCTCTGTCTTTGCTTCAAAACATATAATAAGCCTACGTTTGTTTTATGAATTTCGCGCAAAGATACACGAGGGCTATA